GGGGGGTGACAAAACCTACCGGCTTCGCCTGGAGGGGGAACGCTGGAAAGAGTTCAGCTCTCTGTGTTTCTGCCCCAGGAGAGCTTGCCTAAGTGTTTCTGTCTCACAGCTACGAAAGATGAGGTGAAAAAGCAGCATTACCGGCAGAAAATAACTGAGTACATGACCCGAGCTGAAGACATTAAAAAATGTATTGAAAAAGAGAAACAAGGTATGGAGTGATGATTTAGCTGTTTGGGTTTATATAGCTGTCTTTACGTGAGTGCTTTATGGGTGAGATGGTTGACAGAGGAATTGTGTGGTGATGTTTACTGAAAAAGAGACTTCTTTTTTTTAGATGGCAAATACCATAAGCAAATTAGGATAGATGAAAATGCAACAGGTTTCAGCTACGAAAAGCTTTTCCAAGAGTACCTTAATGAGATTGTTACTGAAGTTTGGGTGGAGGACCCTTACATTAGGCACACTCATCAGGCAAGTAGATACGCGATGTAACTTACGGATGTAGCTGCTAACAAAATTCCAAGTTACTGAATAAAATGTAATTTTTACAGTTATATAACTTCCTACGGTTCTGTGAGATGCTAGTTAAGGGGCCTTGCAAAGTGAAAACAATTCACCTCCTCACTTCCTATGATGAAGTAAGTGTCTAGTTTTGTTTTCTATTTCCCTAGGCCCAGGAGATGCTGTGCATATATATGTATTTATATATATATTTATTTATTTATACACACACACATATACACATATATATACACACATATGCATTTTTAGATATTTTTAAATTCTTATGTACCAGTATTTGTTAGACTGAAGCTCTGATGTCTTCAGAAGAAAACAATGATTAAGAGAAAAATAAGATAATTGAACATAAATCATTTAATAAATCTAGTGGTTTTGCCAACTCTCACAGATTCTTTTTGAGCAGGTTCCTAAATGGAAAAGATATTTTTGTGAGAGTGTTATGAAAATGTCATCAAAATCAACATACCTATTGAGACACGTTTATTCTCCCAACAGCTGTATACAGCTGTCGTTTTAGAGGCTTTGATGAGTTAAAACCTTTCATCCTGTCACTACATTTATTTTGGCTCAAATGGTAGCCTGTATCTACTTTAAGGTGACTGGGAGTAAGCTCTTCCTCCACCTCCCTTAGTAAGTGTACTTGTAACGTCTGCTGTTTTTCCTATCCACAGAAATGTAAATCTAACCTCATCCAAGCAAGTGTTTTGGGGTTTAAATTATTATTAAAAAGGTTTCGTTGGTCAGTTAAGGAAGCGGTGACCACACGTAGTACGTATGGTGAAAGTAGTAGTTTTGGTGGAAAAAAAATCATTATTTTTACTGTTAACAGGGCAGTGGAAAGACTCAACAGATAAATGGCTTGGAAGAAATAAAACAGTCATTGAGGAACCACGGAGTAACACTGAATCTCTCTTTTTCATCTTCAATTCATGATCGAGAAATTAGGTGGGTAATACAAAAATCAGTTAATACCAGTTATTTAAAATCAAACCATTTATCCCTAACTTTGGAGACAATTTGTAATCACAGTGGTAGTTTAAAAAGTGGAAGGCGATGGCCCTCACTGAGTAAAGTCAGCCCGTCATCATGTCGTGCGTTCTAACTGTGAATATAATATTGGCTGTCTATTTCAGAATAGTGTGTTGCATGTTTCATACAGGTAACAGCCACAACAGGAAGTAGTTGTGGTTAAAACAAGGAGCTTTGCCTTGTGGATGTAACTATTTTTCTATTCAACATATTTGCGATTTTCAGGTTTGGGAAGGTGAAGTAATGTGCATTTTTTAAATAGATTCAACAGTGGATGGATGATCAAGATTGGAAGGGGACTTGATTATTTTAAGAAACCACAGGTAAGAATGCTTTGATCTCCTTAATTCACTTATACGGTAAAAATATCTCATTCTGTGTTATCTATGTTAATTTCTGTAGGGTCGTTTCAGCATTGGATACTGTGACTTTGACTTGCGACCTTGTCATGAAACAACAGTGGATGTCTTTCATACTAAACATACAAAGAAAACATGATCGCTACTTTTAATCAGTGATTTTAATAGTATGAAGAGATAAGACTATCGGGTACTTCTTGAATCCAGCTGTCCACCATCAGAAGCAACCCCATAATACCTACTTAGTCTAGCACTGGCCAGAGAGCTTTTATAATCTATGTTTTTAAGAATATTTGAGCCTTTTCCAGTCTGAGAGATTACAATTCTGCAATTCTGACTGTACATATTTCTTCCATAATCATAAGAAATACAATCGATGTCTAAATTTGAGCTTAGGGGCAAGGAGTTTTATAACAGATCCTTAATTCGGTCTCTCAAAGGCCTTTTTTACTATTATTTATATTTTTACTATTAATTTTGTTTGACTTACACCAATTTGGGCTTTTTTAATTCTTCATTTCTTTAATTGACCACCTCATGAACGTATGAGGCAGGGCTGTAACTTCAACCCTTATATCCTCTTTCGTAAGCAGCCTTTATATTTCCTTTAATTCCTGTATTCTAGTAATGAATACAGCTCTGCTGTGTTTTGGTTGATCCTGTAATACCGGATTTTACACACTACCAGGAATCCCAATTCTGACGTTCTATTGTTCAAGCTCTTTTCGTACAAACATTGTAGTGTTCAGTTTACAGGCATTTTAGGGTCTCTTTGTGTGTCTCTGCATGACAGACTTTTGGGTGGGAAGAGTGCAAACAATGCACCGGCTGTACTCTTTTTCTCCTTCTTGATCCTATGTGTTTTTTCCCTGCTGCAGTGTCATCTACCTGATTTCCATTCTTCACATTAGGCATGGAGAGGTTGTATGATCCTCTCCCACTCTCTTTGCTAATCATGCAAGTCCTAAGTTGCAATAAGCTATTTGCCTGCTACTAAGATAGTCCCCTTAAAAAAAAAAAAAATTTTTTTTTTAATTTTTTGAATCCAGAAGTCAGATACCCTGAAACTTCCTTGTGAATAAAGATCCTAAAGTATATGCTAATTAAAAAACAAACAACTTTTATTGCATTCCCTTTGTCCTCTGAAAACAAGAGGCTGTCATCCAAGCTGCCGCTTCGTTCTCACCTGATACAAGGTTTCTTCATTGTTGTCAGCAAGAATCCAGCAAAGTGGCGTATTCGGTCATGGAAAACAGCCAGTAACATTTCTTCCAGGTCTTTTCAACCTCAGGTCTGATAGGTACCTTATGCTTTTTGCATCTTGTAATACAATATGCCTATCTATTCTAGTAGAAAGCCCCTGTGATGTGGTCTGCCATTTTTATCTTTTTGCTTAATAATGTCTCAGCTTTCCAGTGTTATGTCTTTTTTTTTCTCAATAATATTGTCTGACCTCTATTTGAAGGCCATAGTTGTTTTCATTTGCATTGTCCTTTGATCTTTTGCAGAAGTTGTATCAGGTAACATTTGATTAACGTTTTCTAACAGAAATTACTTGTGCAGGGCCTCTATCTGGTTATTTTCTGCATAAGTGCCATGCTTGGCGTTTTCTTTATTGCTGCTGGATGTTCATTATCTTTACCAAGATAAGGAGGAGAGGGAGCAAAAAGAATATGGTATATGCCACAGAATCTGTTTGCTACCAATCTGTCCCTCTAAACATTCCAGAGAAACTCCTCGGCTTGCTGCTGTGATACTAGGTTTCCAGTCACTGTCATCAGATTCATTCAGTTGTGTATAATATATACCTATTTTTAATGGGAATAAAGGCTATTTTTTATTATTTGTAATAAAAAGTCATCTGTTTAAATACTTTTCTGTGCTACATAGAAGTTGGGTAACGCATCATAGATCAACCATTTATGAGAGAAGGTTCATTTTGAATACAGATACAGTAAGCCTCCCAAATGTGAAGCTTTGAATGTTTTGACCTAGTCCAGCAATTTCAAGCGTACAGAAGGTAAATAGCAAGCCACCTCAGATATTTTAGATCAGTTCTAAATTTTAGTACTTAGGTGGAACTATTATACTGGAATTCAGTTATGTAGCTAAGGCTACTCATTTCCTTGCGGATCTGGGGGATATCTCTTCAGTGAGGTGCCAGCTGGCACTGCACTGCAATTTTTATTTTTAAGCCCTTCATCCTTGAATGTTCATTATCAGTAGGAGCACTGTGTATGAAGAGGAATGGACATCAATGAAAATAAAAATCAATTGGCATATTCTGCATTTTATCAGAATAATCTAAGGGTACAGTTTCAGGGTTAGTTTACCAATTTTAGTCAATGTTCTGTGCTGCCACTCACACTTAGGCGGTCAGGTCATCACTTCGAATGTGCAGCCAGGGCTATGCCTCGTGGCACCATTATGCGTGGAGATCAACTTAAAAGCACCTTCCCAACTTGGAGTCAGCTGTGTGTCATTTCATTGCCCCATTGACTGATCTGCTCAGCTAAAGGTAAGTTGCTTCTAGCATATAATTTCTTCCTACTGTGTGCTGGTCAGCCAGCCATCTTTTAAAGATGACTGAACTAAATCTTGAGCCCTTCTTTCATAGTATTACTTTATATTAAGCTATTTTTTATCTAACATAAAAACTGTCACTTTCAGTTTACTGTTGCCTTCCAGTAGCAAATTATCTCCTAGGAGTAACACTAGGAACCTGTTTCTCATAGGCCTTTATTGTGTGTTTGCTAATGCAGAACAGGTATTCCCACTTTTAGCTTAGATAGCAGTACTTGTGGCAGCAGTAACTCCCAGCTTTGTGCCAGGTGGTGTAGGTACAAAGGAGGCACATAACAACAGCCTGCATTCCAGTTGGCCTCTCCTGCTCTCATTGCATAACCCCCACACTGAAACTCCTCATCTTTCCTCCTCTTTTGCACATGCATGGACAAAACCCTCACCCTGGAGGAACTGCTGCACTGATTCACTACACAGCTGTGAGCAATTCTTGTACAAGAGGGGACTGAAGGGAGGGGAACAGGAACACTGCAAGACAGGACTTTAAACCAGAACCCAAGAGAACCCCCCTCCACACAATTAATGAAGCCTCATGCCAGGAGCTGCAACAAGGCTTCTGAGCTACTTATCGGGGGGGGGGGGGGGGGAAATGCAGGCTAAGAATCCACTGCAGTAGCGCAGTGGCAGTTTTCCCTCTGTCCCATCTTGTCTCCATCAGTAATTTGTTACCTTCTTTGCTATAGAGCCAATTTGGGGTTCCTCCACCCCTTTGCCTGGCTTAAGCAATGGTGTGTCTGTCAGGATGGAGTGATGTTGGGCTGCAGCCTGTAACAATGGTTTACATCCTACAGTTTAGGAACCTTGGGTGCAGGCAGCATGAAATCTAATTGTTTACCCTGACTAGTAGGTAACTATACAAAAGCACTAGATTAAACAACCTTAATGATTGATAAACAGGAGAAAAGAAGTTCAGATTCTACAAATTAATGTTTTAATTTCATTTTAAATAAATTAACTGAAAAACCAGCAGAGAGAGATGTGACTTACACTTTCAAAGTAAAAGTCACATTAACAGCCTCATATTCTCACATAGAAGATTCCACTTGTTATGCAACTCGTCATCTTGTGGATATGTTCTTAGTAATGTGCTCGCTAGTGTAGCGATTTCCTTTGGGCAAAACTTCCTGCCAGTGAGGTTCTTCCCTAGTTCATTGCACAACGGTGGCGGCAGCCACTGCTCTGGCACATCAATGTTACAGACTTCAATTCTTCCATGCTTTACATCCATATCTACTTTAACATCAAGAACAGAATCTTTACAGACCAGCTTAAAATCCGTGCTAATACTGAACTTTGGTGTCTTTCCATACACCCATTCCCAGCTTTGTAGTTCTTTAGTTTTCTTATTAATTCCAGGAAGCACAGTCTCATCAGCTGGGTGTATTAAGGTGATGTGATTATCTATTCGGTGTCGCATAGCATATTCTGCAGCAATGGCCTCTAGGAGCATCTCACAAGTTAAAGTAGGATCCTCTTCAAAGAGATTTTTCACTGAGGAAGGCACACTAGGAGTGGCATTGCTTTTTAGACCTTTATAAGGACTTTTTAGCACAGAAGACAAAACAAACTTATCTGCATTACAGAGTAAGGTACAGTGGTGATAAGCAGTGGTCCTTCCCAGCTTTGCAGCGGTACCTGAGATTTTGTAATGCCTGTCTAGCAAGATGTCATATCTGTCTGTGACATGGACATCTAACTGGGGGCGCAGGGCTTTCAGTGCCTTCACAACTAGTTTCAGATTTTCCATTCGTTCATATTTTTTCCTGGTTGTAAAGAAAGTCAAATTGATATTCCCTAAATCATGGTAAACTGTCCCTCCTCCACTTCTCCTCCTGGCTAGTTTTATACTTTTTTTCCTCATTAGCTTAAGTGCCAGGGGTTCTGATGTCTCCCAATTACCACAGCAGGAGAATTTCTCCAAAGGAAAAGGACCTGCTGGTTCTCTAAGTCCATGTGGTCATGGATCCAGTCTTCCACAGCTAGGTTTTGGTAAACATCATTAGAAACAGACTGGAGAATGAGCCCTCCGTTACTTGTGCCTTTGAAGCCAGCTTTTGGAGTCCTGAGAACGCAAGACAACTGAAAGCAGTTCTTCAGCGATGCCTGGAGTACCATGTTTTTAATCATACCACAACAGATGTGAGGAACGTTGAGCGTGGTAAAGCTGAACACGGCAAGCGCATGATCTGCTTTTGTGACAGAAATGAATTATTAGTGACAGTCATGATGCAGGCATGCTCTTCCTGAAGTAGCAATGCTCTTGAAGTGAAGTGAGTGACAAGGTGACCTTCTCCTTTTGAAGGTGATGCTGCTGCTCCAACCCTGACGTGCTCTCAGTGTAAAAGCTGGGGTTGTCAGAGTACTTTTTCCTTGCAGCCTCCTATCCTTGGTGCCTACGAGGCAAAGAAAAGGCAGGGAATACAACTCTATCTTCCCCTCACACAATACATTTTTATTATGAAATGTTAACTTACGAGTATTTTATTAATTTATTTTTATTACTACAGCTTTAGTAATACTTTTTAATTGATTTGATTTAAAAAGGGGGGGGGAGGGGGCAGCAGGTGGGCTCGAGCTTCGTTGGCC